CCCCTCCCCCGAGATGTTCTCATTGGGATCGAATCGAAACTTTCTTTCTTCATTTCAGGAGTACAAAGACTCGGTTTACAAGCTATCCAACCTCGTAAAACCTGGTGGGCACCTTGTTATGCACGGCGATCTTGAGGGATCTTACAGTAAAGTGGGAGAATACATGTTTTATAGCTACGGTGGTTTGAACAAGAAATTAGTTGTAGACAGCCTAGAAAATGCAGGATTGAAAGACATAGTGTATGATTTCAATTCGGTTATTAATCCGATAGAAATTGATGACGCAGTCGGTGAATTTTTTGTGTATGCAAAAAGAGAATAATTCGGGAGTGCCGCATTTAGAAATACAGCCCATTTTCATTACAGATGAATAGATTTTGTATTGCAAGAGTTCAGTAATCCAAATCTCTTTATATTTATAGATGTRTTTAAGCAAATATGAACCTCGTCTGTGAATCTTTTTTAAACTCAGCCATGCACTCCCCCCTATCACTGTGTCATTGTGTTATTGCACAAGCACAGCTTCTGAAGGCAACCAACTTCGAAATATCATAGCTAGAAAAATTTTGTCGAAAATTGTGGATGTCAGATTACTAAATACTGCATCAATGGAGGGGAAGCCTAAAAACCATTCGAACAATTGATAGTTTTCAACCATTCCCAGGAGAGAAAGTTCAACAAAAGATGTCCGCCATTGCTGGTGGACCTGACAAAAGMRAAYCACCACCRTGACTGGTGGACCTTTTTGTTTTGCTCACTCTCATGGGAATGGTTGAAAACCATCAATATCAGAAAATATATATATGTTCGACTGTTTAAAAATTCACAAATAAAAAGAAATAAACAGTACTGAATTTCATGATTTATTTTTAATAAATCTTAATTTTTAATATTCCAAAGAAAGATAAAGATTATATCACGGAACTAAATTATATTACGTATCCCTCTCACGACAGGGACCGCGGAGCGGGGGGGACTAGGGGGCTGTAGCCCCCCCAATAATTTTCCCGCCATTTTGGATTTTCTTAGATAAAGAAGCGAACAGCCTCCTATATATATTCGATATTCTATAAAAAGTGTGTAAAAACTGAGCGTGAATCATTAAAATTGAGCCTTTTTTGCGAAGTCTTTGTGATTTTATCAATAATATCGCTGAGTGTTTGCAGTAAATATGTCTTGCATATCGTCTCAAAACGCGGGAAATGACATTTTCGAGAGCTAAGATTTCAAAATTGAGATATATAATATAGAAAGAAAGGAAAGTTATGGTGCAGCTTAGAAAGAGGTTATTCTGGGAGAAAACGCTTGGAAATAAGTTAGAACAAATTTCCATTCGACCTCGCTGGGATTCGACTGTCTTCGGATCGTTTTTTGATGTTTTTTTGTGTGTTGTTTTCAGTTCTTTTTGAATAGGAATTAAGAAGATTTTTGGTTTGTCGAGGCGAGAGTGTAATGAGTAAAGGCTGGACACGGTTACGTTATAAAAAATAGCTAACACCATTCAACAGGATGCTTATTTTGATTGAGATCAATTTCCGTAACTATGTAAAATCATGTAAAAATCATGTWAAGATGCCGTAAATTTAGATTACACGATTGTTCCCTACAGGTTTTCATAATTTACATGATTTTCCCATGATCTGTGTTAATTAATAAATTATTACATGGTGTGTAAAATTCATGCCAATCGAAAATTCCATTTCTCCAGTTGATTGACTGTTTTTATAAAAACATTTGGTAGGCTCGAATAGCAATTGGACTGCACGAAATAACATAACTTTATGCGCTACAGGATATGAAATGCAAATTATGTAAAAAATAAATGTCTAGATAAAGTGAAAATGAAATTGAAATTGAAAGTGTGGTGAAGTTCAAAGACTTTTTGATAACTCCTAAAGATGGAAAGGCACCTTGTAAAAGACTACGAGAATCTTTTCAACGTCGAAGATTACCTTGAACAGTATTTCAAGGACCCCAAAACAGAGCCATGGGTTTTAGAGAAGGTCAACGCGTTTTGGAAGAAGTTTAGCACGAAGAAAAATCTTACTCTTTTGGAATATGGAGGAGGTCCTAATATCTCTCGTCTAGTGAGTGCATGCCAGTACGTGGAGAAAATTGTTTTCAGCGACTTTGCTGATGTCAATCGGCAAGCAGTTCACGATTGGATGGGTAACAAAGGCTTTAACTGGAAGACAACGTTTGATTTTGTAGTACAAGAGCTAGAGGGTCAAGATCAGAAGGCAGCAAGCGACAGGGAGGATGAGTTGAGAAGTAAGATTAAAGCTATAGTTCCCTGTGATATTACAGCAAGCAATCCACTGGATACAGCGACTTTGACAAAAGACCTTCTTCCACCGTATGATGTCGTCTTTACGAGCTACTGTGTTGAAGCTGTAGTTGAAAGTGATCAGGTATTTATACTGCTATTTTTCATCAATTATTACTCATAACTAGTAAATATTATAAGTTATATTTCACTTAATGATAGTTCTGATGGCCCACATTTGTAAGGT